AAGACGGATGCTTAGGGGGAAGGAAGTGGGCAGACAGCTTCGGTGTGTGCAGGAGAAATCCGGAGGCGACGGGAAGAGGGGGCACAAAGCTGCTGCAGAGGTGGGGGATCCAGTACTTGCCTGCCGTCACTGCACGTCCTGTGCTTCCGGTATCCAAATAGTGGTTGTTCTTAATGGAAGAACTTCAGCCTAAACACAGAAGACACCACTTCTCAGCTCTGAATGGAATGTGTGTAGGCAGTGATCATAAGGGATTGCAACATTTTAGGAAGGCAACCAGAGATAAACTGATCTCCCCATGATCTCCTCATGGAGTAGGACACACCCCCTGTGACGTGTTATTGATTCACTTAACCAAACAGTAGCAGCAAAAAACAGATGGAGTCTTCAGATCTAATTACCACTTGTGTGGGGTACAGAGGAATATATTCAGCACCACGATGGGGGTTTAATTAGCAAAAAATCCAGACAGGACAAATGATAGATTTGGGATTTTTTTTTTTTACACCTCCAAGTAAGTGGCAAGAAAAAAAGGGGAATGTATAGATTGAGACTAGTGTCATAATCAACCAAGTACAATGTGTTATTTTCCTTGGATACTGATTGAAGAAACAATAGTAATTTTTTTTTTTTTTAATTGTGGCTGTTAGACTAGATTTTTAGTGTGAAGTTTTGGTCTCTTTAAGGACTAATCTTAGTATTTTGTCTACTTAGTGTTGTAGTAAGAGATTCTAATTCTTAGAAATAAAAGGCATGAGAACCAGTTGGGGTGATGGTTACGTTCTGGGAGGCAGTAGCATGGGTAACTTGAGCTGTCTTACTCTGTTGGTGAGGTGGGTTCATAGTGTTTTATGCTTTGTGATATAAAAAATTATACGTCTCTGTGCATCAAATTCAACATAGTAAACAATTACGATAGAGGATGCAGTGGATAAAATACAGAATGAATAATTGTACAGGATTTATGACCTGGACCACCAAATAAATGGGATGGGAGCAGTGAAGGGAAACTCTTGTATCAAATAGACCTAAAGAGACATCAGCTCTACACATGTGCCTCTTGGCGGGATCTCAACATCAACAAACCATTTGTAAAAAGATAGTTACAGGCAATTGGAAATAAACATAATGGATATCTGATATCAAGGAATTTTTGTTACTTTTGGGGAGCAACAATGGTGTCATAAAATTTAAACCCAAAAGGTACTTTTTTTTTTTTTTTTAATATATATTTTATTGCCGAGATTGGTTTGGCTCAATGGATAGAGCGTCAGCTTGGGGACTGAAGGGTCCCGGGTTCAATTCCGGTCAAGGGCATGTACCTTGGTTATGGGCATATCCCCAGTAAGGGGTGTGCAAGAGGCAGCTGATTGATGACTCTCTCTCATCGATGTTTCTAACTCTCTCTCCCCCTCTCCCTTCCTCCCTGTAAAAAATCAATAAAAAAATATGAGGGGGAGAGAGTTAGAAACATCGATGAGTGAGAAACATCGATCAGCTGCCTCCTGCACACCCCTCCTGACATGTCCTTGATCAGAATTGAACTTGGGACCTTTGAGTCCACAGGCCAACACTCTATCCACTGAGCCAAACCGGTTAGTGCAAGGTCCTTATTTTTTATGCCTATTTACTGGTGTACTTCAGTATGACAGTGGGACTTGTTGGTAAGGTGTAAGCATACTAATGAAAACCGAGTGGTCATTAAAGCTGGTATGGGCATGTGGTGGTCGATTTTATTAGCTTATCTAGTGTGGTGTCAACCTGAAAATTGCTCTAAAGCTAACTTAAATCAGTTCACTGACTAATAAAGGTCTTGAAGATGCCCTTTGGAGTCTGTGAGCTTTTCCGTTCGCTCGTTATCCTGTAATTTAAATTGCTTTTAATAAATAACTAGTATTGAATTTTCATGGTAACTAATATTTCAAGTACAATGTTAAACAAACTTTGCCTCATTTTTCTCTCCAGGGGAAAACTCTTAAATTTTATATGGTTAACTTATAAAAAGATTGTGTTGGGGTTCTTTTTAAAAATAACACAGTAATTAAATGTTTTTAAATGATTTTTGCTCTCAAACTTAAGTGTGGCAGTTCTCCCCTTGTAATTTTTATTTTTTTTAAATTGATTTTAGAACAAGAGGTAGAGAGAGAGAGAGATAGATCTATTGTCTCCTGCACACACCTTGACCCGGGATTGGGCATGGGGCCTGACCTGGAATAAAACTGCAAACCCTCAGTGCCCTGGCGTTGCTCAACCAAGCCACACTGGCTAGGGCACTTCCCTTATAATTTTTAAGAAAATCATTGGAAATGTTAGTTGTTTCTGGATGGCGGGATCTGTGAGTCTTGTTTTTCTTTTTCTTCTGTATATTATAACACAATTTAATGTAATAAGTGAGTGCCGCCCAGGGTCTCAGGCTCTGAATACAGCCTGAGATCCCGCTTTTAGGGAGTGTGCCCTTTTTCTATTACTTGGTGTGTTTTAGGAGGAGGTGAAACACCTACTTATTTTGCTGATAGTTAAATTGAACTTCAGTGATTCGGTAACCATGGAGTAGAAACAAACGCCAATATCAATTCTACCAACTCTTAAGTATTTGGAATCAAACCTAGATATAACAACTCTAAAAGCACATAAGGGAAGCAGATGATAATGTTGATTTCAGAGAGGAAGGGAGAGTGAGAAAGGAATAGAAACATCAATGCTGAGAGAGAATCATTGATAGGTTGCCTCCTGCATGTCCCCCTGGGGTTCTAGCCTGAAACCCGGGTACATGCCCTGACTGGGAATCGAACTGGTGATTTCCAGGTGCATGGGTCTCTGCTGGATGTACGTTTTGAAGAATGCATTGGGAAATATGGTTAATGATATACACAAGATCGTATTCCATTTAAAGATTGATTGGGAGTCCTGTGAAGTGGATATTTGTTTTTATAATATGAATAATTACCTGCTAATTGACCAGAACTCTGTATGTACATTTACATGGGTACTTTTGGGGAAAAAATTTTGCTAGTATATACCAAAAGAATGAGTCCAATGGTAACAAATGCTAAGTTTCTCAAGATTGTGCTGCTAATTCTTACTGGGTCAGATGTTTGATTAAAGAGGTTAGTATTTGCATATCTATAGTAATTCTTACTTCCTTGGTTACGCAGGGTAAATATTTATACAATGTCAGTAACTTTTCTGCTAACTGAAGCAATATATAGCAGTTTTGAAATCTTTGTATTAAAGCTTTCATGGAAAATATAAAATCTTATACAAAAACAGAGCTATAGTACAGATCCTGCAACTTTTCCTACAGTTAGCAGATGAGTTTAAAAAAAAAAAAAAAAAAAAAAAAAAAAAAAAAAAAAGACAAATCTCACACTAGCATTTCATGCCTAAATTGAGACTGGGTGATGGTTAAAGTATTTCCCCCCTTCAATTGACACTCTCACTGTCTCTTTGGTATATTGCTCCTTTATTTTATTGTCTCAAAAATAATGTAAGAATACATCTGACTTTCCACTTTGTGGTTACAAACAGAATATACATATTCTTTAGCCTTTCTTTCCTAAGGAGTAGTGGTACCTCTGGCAGTATTTGTTCTCATGCTTTGGGGGAAGTAGAAGGGATAAAGATTGTGAATCTTGTCTAAGCAGGTGTTTTACTGTGAAACTTAAAAACAAGTGGATCATTTGACCTGGAAAGGGAAACTAACATGTTTCTAATTCTAGAAGTTAAATGATTTATTTCATTTGAGATGTCAAGCCTAACTGCTAGTCTATTGTTTAAAAAAATGTATTTTTATTGACTTCAGAGAGGAGGGGAGAGAGACATAGATGAGAGAGAATCTGGCTGCCTCTTACGTGACCCCCCCATCCCACCCTCATCATGCCCGCAACCGAGGGGTGTGCCCTGAACCTCCTGGTGCATAGGTCCATGCTCAGCCATTGAGCCACACCAGCCAGGGTTTTTTATAAAAATAGTTAGTTAACCATAAATTTCTTTGTCTTCTACAGGGATGATTGGTGTGTGGCATCTATGCTAAAATCTCATATGATTATTGCCCCTCCCCTTCTCCTCTTCCTCTCTCTGACAGTGTTGAAAAAAGAATGTAGATGTGTGTAATAGATATTATTATACAGAGTTTACTATATATGCATTTTACATATGTGGGCATTGAACTAAGGTGTTTTTTTGTTTTGTTTTTAATGTTTTTCTACTGTGGACTCTTTTGGTAGTCTGAAATTTATGGACCTCTTAGGATGTTTTTAAATGCATAAAATAAAATACATAGGATTATGAGGAAATCAATTACTTTGAAATACAGTTAGCAAAATGTTAAAACTCATAGTAACATGTGCTCCTTAACATAAGGAACAAGTTCTAGCAACACATCTAAATTTCACAGTAATGAGTGTAGATGATATTTAAAGATCTGCAATAATTTATTGTAATATGAAAAGAACGAATTTATGTTGCTGTCAAATTACAAGCAGTGTACTTATACTGTAGTTGAATACTATCATTTATGATTGAAAAGAGGCACTAAATTTTAGGGGATAGTGAAGATAATAAGTATATGACCACCTCCCACCGCCCATCCACATTCCCCAAGTTCTGCCTTTTAATTGCTCTCCTTGGCTGCAGTCTCAGATTGAGAACATTCTGTGCTAAGGCTTTGCGTCCTGCAGGGCTTAATTTGAGGCTGAAGGGTTTAAACTTAGAAGATAGTTGTCAGTTGGAATGTTTTCAGACATTGTCTCTGCCAGTTGTAGAGGCTTTACGAACGAGCTCTCACAGTCTAATGTGCTGGATCTCCACATGGTCTCAGTGTTCCCGTGACCAGCTTTTCTCCTCTCCTTCCTGGGCTGTGCTTCCTGCCTATATATGGGCTTTTAGTTAATAAAACATTAATAATTCAAGTCGTTTTTAAATACCCATGTTGGCTATTAATGTCTTTTGCTTTTATATGTGTTTTGTTTGTTTTTTTAAATATTTTAATTCTTCTGCAGGATTCGGAAACTTCAGATACGAAATATTCCGCCTCACTTACAGTGGGAGGTAAGAATTTCTATATTTAAAATTAAGATTTCAATATCTAAGCCTGTTGTTTTTCCAAAGGTTTTTCTCCTTCCCCCAACTCTTGTGCTAGAACACACAATTTCTCTCTCTGATGGTTTGTGTCTTGCTCTGTGGGCTTTTCTTCTGTATCTTTTAAAAATTGCTCTTTGAGATATTTATAAAAAAGTTGAAATAGCTTCTTGGGTAATCCCCTTCATTCAATTTCATTCCAGTGGAATCTTTTTATTTGAGGTCTTTCTCGTGAGTTTGCCAATTGCACTTAAGTAGGAAGTTCCCTCCTTGGCAAATTGGTTTTAAAAGGAAAATACCTGTTACTGAGGCTTTACTTTAAAAAGTTACTCTGCTTTCTTTCGCTCAGTTGGTGGCACTGTAGTGACTGGGCATAACACAAACGAAATATTTAGCACAATTAACAAGTCTGTGTCAGCAGTTTTCAAAGCATGAGAATGATGTTACGGTGAGTCTTTGAAACACCAGCGGTTGAAGAGATAAAAGAAAATATCTGAACAAGTTCTTAAAACCTAACTTGGAGAGGCAGTGTAAGGAAAGCTGCTCAGCTCTTGTGTATTTTAAATATAAAAACCAAGCTTTCTAATTTTCATGTTTGTCTTCTAAAATGACAGTTGATGGAGTCACTAAACCAGAACCTTCATCAAAATGCAAAGTCTGGTTAAAAGGTTTCTTTGGTGGTGAGTTGAGGGAAGTTGGTCAGAAGCTTGATTTTCCAAGGTCCCGATTGGTAACAGCTCATTTATGCTCAGAATATTTTATACAGCATTTATACCCAGAACAGTATTATTGATTGAATTTAATCTTTGTAGGAGGAGTTAGTTCTTTGGTATATGCTTGAGTGGTTTTCAAGTTATGTAATGCATAAAGAGTATACTTTTGTAGATGGAAACAGTGTAAATAAGGTTAAGCTCAGTGCATTTTCCTGTTTTAGATGAACACGTATTTAAGGAATTGGATAGCTTGGAGGATGGGTCCCAAATCAAGTGTTGTGGTTTGATTGCTTTGTTTTAACATGATCCATGTTAGATATGATTTTTCTGCTTGTGTATTGTAGCTTTCAGTGGGATAGTCAAATTGTTGCAGCCAGTTTTAAGCAAGTGAATTATTAGAACAGTAGTATATTGGATACAGACAAGTGGCAATTTCGTTTAATTCTTTCCTAGTATCTCTTCAAATTTAGATTGCAGTAGCTTCTCAAGCATTTAGTTTATTGTACTTTTGGTGGTTTTTCAAGCTTTTAGTTTATTGAATTCTTATTCTGGATAAAATTTAACCTCATTCATGAGACTAAATCTTTATTTGGCATACTTAACTTCAAAAAATTTATTTATTGATTTTGAGAGAGAAATAACATTGATGTGTTGTTTCACTTATTTATGCATTCATTGGTTGATTCTTGTATGTGTCCTGACTTGCTTGGGATGGAATCCACAACCTTGGCCTATTGGGATGACGCTGAGCTACCTGGCCAGGGCTGCCATATCTAACTTTCATATTTCATTTTACCTTTATCCATAGTTCTTGAAGGCAGCGGTCACCAACCGGTAGTCTGTGAGGTCCGAAAGGTTGGTGACCGCGGCTTTAAGGTATGGTGAAGTTGGTGACATTTCCATTTTCAGTTGGGCAATAAGGGCACACAAATAACTGAGTCAGCACACATACTGAATGGTGAAAAGTTTGGAACTAGAGTTTGAAACTCTTCTACATCTTTAAAAAATTTTAAGTGATTGTTTGAAATATTGATTAATAAAATTTATGAGGGGTTGCCCTGGCTGGCACAGCTCAGTGGGTAGAGCATAGGCATGTGCAGGGATCTAGGTTGTAGATTCAATCCCAGCCCCGGGGGGTGTGTGTGTGTGGGAGGCAACCAATCTATGTGTTTTTCCCTCCCTCCTGCCCTCTTCCTCCTTCTCCTCCTCCGCCTTCTCCTTCCTCATCTCTCCCTTTCTCTCTCCCTCCCCCTTCCCACCCCCACTCCTCCGCCTTCCACTCTCTCTCTCTTAAAAAAAAAAAAAAATCTATGGAAAAAAAATCCTAGTAAGAATTAACAACAAAAAATTACTGTAGGATAAGGTGGTGTGAGGTTTCCTCTCCTTGAAGATGCGAATGAATGCCATCTGTTATTTCCGTTTTGAAACAAGTCACTCTTACCTGTACACCCTGAGTGTGCTGGGTGTATTTTGAATGAGTCACTCTTACCTGTACACCCTGGGCGTGCTGGCTGTTTCGTGCCAAAGCCTTATTTTGGACAGTGGTGATTTTGCACTAATAGGCCCAGACTCCTCCATGTTGGAGAGAAGAGACTTTGAATGCACTGATTACTCCTAGAATCACTGGGAGTAGAAAGACTGTACATTGTGTGCCTCCTGATTTGATGCAATAGGAACTATACAAACACAGGTGAAATCCTCTAAAAAATAGAGGTTTGACTGGATTCACTTTCAGTCTTTTTTTTTTTTTTTTTAGAAATTATTTTTTAAAATATATATTTGTTATTGATTTCTGACGAGAGAGAGAGAGAGAGAGAGAGAGGGAGGGAGAGAGAAACATCAGTGATAAGAGAGAATCATTGATCGACTGCCTGAGAGAGAGAAAGAGAGAGAGAAACATCAGTGATAAGAGAGAATCATTGATCGACTGCCTTCTGCATGCCCCATACTGGGGATGGAGCCCACAACCCATGCCCTGACCGGTGGGTGACCTCCTGGTTCTTAGGTTATGGCTTAACCACTGCCAGGCTGGAAAGGACTTCTTTAAGGGAGTTTCCCCCCTAATCTTAGGAGCCCCTCTCAGGAAGCAGTGAGCTCCGTTAGTTGTGCACATGACGTCAGAGTGAAGGCCGGGTGGGCCTCGTTGGGGCAGGCGATCAGGGCGAAGGGTGTCTGGAGAGGCTGCGTGTGAGACAGTCCGGCCTCGGGCTGATGTCAGCAGCGGGAGCTCTGCGAGCTGGCAGGCCGGATGTGCTCCCGCTGGAGCCACCCCTTTTCTGAGGCGGAGATCTGGCTCTGCGGTCTGACCATGCTTACGAGGAGTACAGACTTCAGACCACAGTCCTGGTGGAAAATTGAGGATGTGTGTTGGCTCTGCTGGAGGACTGAGATCCAGTTTCTCTGGAGAGGGAGCTGGGAAGATGAGTGTCTGGGAGGAGACTCCTGAGGTTTGGGCCACGTGTGTGGTCTGATGTGACTGACAAAGGAGCAGAGCGCCTTCTGGGTTAACACGGGAGGAGAGGAGAGGGGCTGGGGCATCTTTCTTTAGAACTAAAGCATCCTCAGACTGCATCCAGGCTTCTGACACTAGGGAGTTCCTCTCTGGTTCTTTTGTTGTTAATCCTCACCCGAGGATATTCTCCCATTGAGTTTTAGAGAGAGTGGAAGGGAGGGGGAGAGACTGAGAGAGAGAAACATCTATGTGAGAGAGACACATGGGATGGTTGCCTCCCACATCCATCCTGACCAGGGCGAGAGATCGAACCTGTAACCCAGGCACAGCCCCCTGACTGGCATAGAACCGGGACTCTAATCCGGGGCCGGCGCTCTATGCACTGAGCCAGCCCAGCCAGGGTGGTCTCCGCTTCTTGATGCTGAAGGCGATAACTAGTCACTAAAAACAAGCGCCAGTGCTGCAGGCTGGAAATTGCACCATAAAATAGTGATTTTTGTTTTTTGTTTTTCTCAGAGCAGAGTTACCTTAATGATTTCCTTTAAATGTCTTTCTTGGTGCTTTTATGTGAGCTTGAAGTAGTTTTTGGAAGTAACTAGATCTTGTAGGAAATCTTAAAAGGCTCTTCTTTTGTAGGGCCAAAGGATTGCCTTAATAGGACACTTTATTTAGGGGTTGGCCTGTTAGTTTTGAGCCCCACTCCTAGTAACCAGCCTGGAGAAGTTGACTTTGTAAGGAATGTTAGAAAGCCCTGGCTTCTTTCATGAGGAAGAGAAGATTATTCTTTAGTCGCTCGGTGGTGGGAGGGTCAGGTTGAAGGGGAGAGGTGGTAGAGAGGAGCGCCAGAACCTCCCTGTCACTTACACTCAGTCCGGCGTGTTCCGTCTCTGGAAGAAGGGCTAAAGCTTGAGAAAGATGCCCACATTTCAGAACATACTGAAGAGGCGTTCTAACAAATGAGGTGGAAACCGCAGAAAATGGCTACTTTCTTGTGAGATGAGGCAAGTACTTACAATGGAGAAACGATATGATCTACATTACACTTAGAAGAAAGCTTAATGAGGGTAAGTTGTAGAGGTCAGAAATTTCCAGAAGATTAACAACAGCTTCTTAAAGCTGGTAACATCTCAATGAAGCCTATTATTTTCTTTGCACATGTGCTCGGAACAGAGTGAGATCAATGATGGGGACCTCCCTGGCGGCACCAGGAAGGGGAACTAGCAGCATCATGAAGAGAGGCTTTGGCAGAAGGGAAACAAAGCAAGTTTTTATTTAGAAAGAAACAAGGAAGGAGGCAAGAAGGTAGTGACGCCATACGATCTAGTCTGGGGAAGACCAGGCAGCAGCAGAGTTAGTATGAGACTGAACACGCCGTCCCTCAGTGTAAGTGTCTGTGAGGATTGCCCTCACAGTGACACGGGATGAATGAGCGTGTGCTGAGAATAAGCCTGTCTTATACGCTAGGGAGAGGCACAGTGACTTCAGTTCAAGAGATGTAGGCAAGGCTGGGCAATCTTAGGTGAAGACCCTCGTGGATATTGGTGACTTTAAGGGAAGGAGCTGATACATTTTCATCTGCCTCGTGCGGCTCCTGTTGGGCACTCTGGTCAGATGCTGTTTGGCCCATGATGAGTATGTGAATTACTGCCGAACAGAAGTTGGGTGAGACCAGATCAGTTAAGTATAAATGACAATGTAAAGCTAGCAATACGAGGCACTTTAACCCAGCCATACAGAAAAGGATGTCTGTAGGGTCCGCAGGGTTGACATTAATCAGGAATTGAACAAGAAGTCACCAGAGGCAT